TTTAAAATTGATCTACGTGACATCTGAAGTCCCTCAGGGAAGTCATCTGGGCCCTTTGCTGTTTACTTTGTTTATCAACGATCTTCCCTCTATCATAACACATTCTCGTGTACTAATGTATGCTGATGATGTTAAGCTTTGTTTATCATATAATGATAAAGCGTTGGAATTTAACTTACAGTCATTTATTGATTGTTTTCATGAATGGTGTGAGTACAACCTTTTAAAGTTGAACTACCTTAAATGCAACGCTATGTTTTTTTATGGGAGTACTCCTACGTTTATTAGTTATTTTCTTGAAAATACGTCACTCGACCATATGTCCACTGTTAATAAAGCCATGAGTGTTCTTGGCTAAAGAAAGCGTTGGTCTGAAGAATTTTATGACCCTAATACGACCAAATTATTATTTACCTCCCTTGTCCGTCCTATTTTGGAATATTGTTCGTCGGTTTGGAGTCCACAATATCAAGTGCACATTGACCGTATTGAGTCGGTACAAAAAAATTTCTTCTTTTTGCCCTTCGTAGTTTGAACTGGGATCAAAGCGTAAGGCTACCTTCCTACCAGAGTAGATTACTGTTGCTTAATTTACCTACCCTTGTAAATCGTAGAAAAATGCTTGGTACTGTTTTTATGCAAAATCTTATTATAGGTGATATTGATTCTGCAGAACTACAACCGCCTAACTTACAATGTTCCTGTTAGACTAGTACGAAATTATATCCCTCTAAATTTGCCACGATGTTTATCAAATGTTTGTCTGCACGAGCCCTTTCGCGTTCTATGTAATAATTATAACAACCTTTATCATCTAATTTGCATTTCCATTTCTATCCCGTTATTAAAAACTAATATTTTAACTCATTTGCTTTTCTTTTAATTGTGCCTTTTATTTTCACTTGTGTCTTGTCTCTATTTAATTTATGTATTTTCCTCGCGAACTCACATTTTTTGCCCAAATTGATAATAGGGCTCCGCGTAACAAACACGTGCTTGGTGTAGTTGGGCCATTTGTTTGTACTGCTCGTAGTGCATCAACGTCCATCAGAATATAAGGGATGGAAACGAAACGAATAATTTGCTTGATGATGATAGTTTTTACACTGCGCTATTAAACTGCATAAAAGCATACGACCAGTATAATAAAACTTAATGTTTTGGTCAAAAAATACGATGAAAACATTATATTAGACAAAAACGGCGAGAAATTCAAAAATGTATCCAAAAACTGCAAATTCTACTGATTTAACCCGATTAAGCTATGTGATATAAAATCGACATTGCTTTATTGTTTTAAACATATAAGCATACAAATCGATGAGAAGTAAGTTCACTTCCTTTTTGGTTTTTGTGTGCCCTTCTAACGGTTATTTTAAAAAGTCACTTTGGAATCAAAACATACAATCTCTTTCACTAGAATTTATTGAATTCTTTCGAATGTGTTGATTGTGGTGAGGATAACGATTACGACTATTTGTAAAAAAAAGAACTTTTGTTTGTACAAGTCGTAAAAAATAGTCAAAATTAAACATTTTTTTAATAATAGTATGTACTCAAAAACGTGAATTCTAATATTCCGTAAAAACCGTAAACAAAAATCTTTTTTACATATGTTGCGAACTATGCAAGATAGGGCAACCAAATTTGAATTACGTGTTCTACTTAAATATTTTAGTACTATATTTAAATTTTACTTCGGCAAACCGAATATAAACTTCGGTTACAGTTATGACAATAAGTACTTGTTTGACCAATAACTAAATATGTTCATACTAGCCTTACAAACATCAAAGTTATGGCATTTCCGATCAATCAGTTATATGGCAGCTACAGGATATAGTCGGCCGATCCCGGCATATATACTGCATGCAAAGGAAAGAAGGGTGTGGGCAAAGTTTCAGTTCAATATCTTTAAAACTGAGAGACTAGTTTGCGTAGAAACAGACAGACGGACAGACGGACATGGCTATACCAACTCAGGAGGTGATCCTGATCAAGAATATATATACTTTATAGGGTCGGAGATGTCTCCTTCACTGCGTTGCACACTTTTGGCCAAAATTATAATACCCTCTGCAAGGGTATAAAAACAAGAGAGAACGCTATAGTCGAGTGCCTCGACTATTAGATACCCGTTACTCAGCTAAACAACTTAATATACGATTAAGTATTAAATAGTATTATGTATATTAAAGTCTAAATGTTTGCACAACACGAGTAACGGGTATAGCGAATAGCTTTCTTTTCTTTGCCGGGCAATTGCAACTGTGTACAATGTAAATACATACATACATATGTACATGCTTACATACATACACATATACGCCATTGTTTGACTCAGACCTCCAATTTGGCTAACTAGATTTGATTTGCATAGTTCTTGGGATATAGTTCGGTATTGACAAATGAAAACCATCGCAATTTCCTTTAATAGAAATCCTTATCGAGAATTAACGTTGACTCTGTTGAGCACCTTGGCCAGCTGCTCCAATGTCATCTGTTAGATGGCGCCATGAAAGGCGGAAATGTAGGCGCTAGCCAAGCTTAAGCGTTTAATGGGTTTTTGGGCGTTAGAGTGGGCGTGGCAAACTTTTATTAGGCCAATCGATATTTATTGACGAAACAAATACAGATCAATTAAAATTTTCATAATATCATCAAAACTTTGGCCACAGCTTGTGGGCGTCAGAGGGGGCGTGGCACCATTTTGAAACAAACTTGCGCTGCGTAGGAACTCCTAAAATCTACATGTAAAATGCCAATCTTCTAGCTTTTATAGTTTCCGAGATCTCAGCGTTCATACGGACGGACAGACAGACGGACAGACGGACATTGCTAGACCGACTCGGCTAGTGATCCTGAACAAGAATATACATACTTTATAGGGTCGGAAACGCTTCGTTCTACCTGTTACATACTTTTGCACGAATACAATATACCCTTTTACTCTACGAGTAACGGGTATAATAACTGATCCTAACAGGTTGAGGGGTTTTAGTCCGACCAGAATTCGTGCGGTAATCAATTAGATTTAGATGTATTCCCAAATTTAAAAATATCCCCGCGAGTGAATCGACAGCTCTTCGGGCTTGTTATAGAAGAAATTAAAAAATAACCTACGTATGAATTCGAGTAATCCAGTAAAAGTCGTTAAAACCAAAAATGTTGTATTAGGGTGCGTTAACGGAAGACAATCTGCAATATTACGATTCAGGAATTTCGTTAGAGTGGGCATCTCATAAAATAACAGCTGTTAAATCAGATTTTTAAATACATAACATCAAGTTTTGTAGCTTTGACAGTAGTTTTGTTGCAGATGAGAAGCTTTTTGATTGTCCATGCAATATTGAACTCGAATCTGAAGAGCATGAGGTTTAATATCAGGTGTGTTTTTTATACTTATCAATACAATATGTTTAACATGATTTTTGTGCATTTACATTAAACCTTTGTGGAACGAGGAACCACACAGGTGAATATGTTAAGGGGGGTATAGTTAATTTGGTGCAAAATCGGTAATTTTTTAAGAATTTTTATTGGCTATACGGTTAGTTTTAGCTCAATTTTGGTTTTGGCATGTGATAGGGCAACATTTAAACAACATGTTTTCATCCAAAAATATTAAAAATTAAGTGAGATACAGGCAATCTCCGGCGGCGCCTCGAAGAAAACACGTTTTGCGGTGTACACGATAACTGGTCACAGAATTATCTGAATTGATAAAAACAAATTGCATTAGTTAAAAGACAAGATTCCTCAGGTAACGCAGTCGAGTTTTTATTTTTTTATTGTGTTATTATTTGTTTCTCTAAAAATAAAAAACAGCGTTACCTGAGGAATCTGGTAGAGAAATAATGTGCAAAATCTCAAAACGATCCGATCGATAGATTTTGCAGGATCGTGTACACCGACTTTGAAATGGCAACTTTTCAGGAGAGCGTTTTAAAGTTTGGGACACCCAAAAATTCAATATAAAACGCGCTTACCTACTTTCAACTGCCCATAAGTTCGGAAGTTTTACTCGGATCAATTTAACACAGTATTCTTAAGATGTTGTGCATTCAGAAAAAAAATTTTAAAAAAGCAAAAAAAAAAATTAATTCTATACCCCCTCCTTAAGTACATATTAACAAGTACTTAAGTACTTAACAAAAAAATAAATTTTATGCGTTTATCTTAAAAAACAATGAAGTTGAATAAATCGATTATATTTGATATATTCGTTCGATATTCTTTTTAATTTCTATGTTGCCTAAGTATACCAAAAACAATATGCAGATAAAGTTTTAAAACAGCACTGAACGGAAGTCTAATTTGTATAATTGGCTGTTATTAAATCGATTTCCGCATTTCTCCCTGATTCTTTTCCAATATATTTTTTTGCTCATTACTCAAATATCGGACGACTATATCTTATAAATTGGTCTCATTTATCTTCCATAATGGGCGTATGGTTCAATGAATTTTATTCGCGCAGTATAAAAGCATTCAACGAATACCTTCCTTGAGATGATTATATTGTATAATTTTCATATATCTGCCATATTTACAGTACGGCTATACACAGTATAATAGTGTTCTTGTTTTTATTAGCATGAAATATTAGCTTTGGACAATATCTAAGTAACAAGGAACAATTATTTGAAACATCTGTTAAGTCCCGAAAATGATACGCGGGGCAGCTGTTTGACAATTAAACAGAAACAATTTTGTTTATAATGACATTCTAATTCTAATGATGACATTTTTTGTTTTATAGCAAACTTTGAAGCTTTGCATTTGATGTTTCCTAATGAATACTCTAATAACAATGTTGTCAGATCGACGAAATCTTTTGAATCTTATTTGTTTACTTATTTTCTTTTGGCATGATAGGAATAAAAATGCTGGGAGTTACTATCAATTGTAAAACCTTCCGGACCGATGGACTCACCTTCTTTTTTATAATTCCGTCTGCAAGGTTATAATAAGCTTTTTATAAGAACACGTAAGCTTACCTTGAGGCTAATGTCTCCCCTGGCAAAGTTACGACAGGGGTACCCGTCCACAAGACGTCCATAGATGTAGTGTGTCCATTGCATAATGGAGTGTCAAGACATATATCAGCTAATTGACCGCGACGTACGTGTTCTTCTTTAGCAGCTACATTTGAAAAAATTACTCTATCAGGAGATATTCCTATAAATATTAAAAAAAATATATAATTTTTAGAATTTGTATAATAAATCATATTTACCGAAATCACTAACTGTCTTTTTAATATTTTGTTCACCAACTGCTGGAAACCTCAGTAACCACAAAACTGACTTAGGCACATTTTTTAAAATTTGTATCCAAGATTCAAGTGTTTGAGGATCGATTTTGTACAGCTGATTAAAATTGCAGTAGACAATAGCGTCGTCAGGTAACATATATTGTCGACGAGTGGTTATTACAATATTTTGTGGTACCTCTTCACCGGTAGCGGCCTTATTGTTAGTTTGGGTAGTAGCCAATCCGTTTTGAACAACAACACCATTTAAAGAAGTTTGTACTTGACCAGACGCTATCATTGATACTATTTGTGTCGTATTTGGCAGCTCAGCGACTTTATGAGTAATTTCGACTGGTTTTTGTACGTTAACAACTTCCTTAATCTCTTTTACATCTGTATTTTCAACTAGAGGTGATAAATCCGTGGCATTTATAACCGTTACATTATCTACAACAGAGGATTGTTGTTTGTCACATACAATTATCCGCTCTTTTAAATGTGGAAACATTTGCTTATGGTCGCCAATGAAATATGTGTGCGGCATATAAGACAACTTCTCGCTGTATTGGTAAGCCAAATCCATTGGACTAGTAATAGCATCAGTAATAATATAGTCCATGAAACTAGCGCCACTAGTACCTGGATAGCCCAACCACATTACTTGTATTGGAGCAGGGCGAAGAGCAAATATTTCATTTCTTGCTCCCTTCGTGTATCCATTCATATTTACCAAAATATGTATACCGTCATTATAAATTTTATCTGCCGCTTTGCCATTACAAGAAATTTGTGAGAGATCCACAAAGTTTTCAGATTCTCTGCTGATTTTATATCGAAATGTTGTCCCATCATCTGCACTTAAAGCATAACAGAAAATCTCTACTTTTGAACGATCGTGGAGACCTGGCACAGATTGCATTAAGTGTGAGGTAGGATGATTTCCAAAGTCCGAGCTTAGATACCCTATACGTAGCCTAGCATTGGCTGGCAATTCTTTTAAAAAATTATACGGTTTTTTATGAAGCACATGAACTTTTTCTAAACATAAATTGGCATGACGGGCTGCAATTGCTTTACGATACTCATGTGTCAAAGGATAAAGCATTGAGTGATGTGGATGCACGGATGGTAAACGGTTTTTTTCAAGCTGCTCGGCAACTATACTAACCAATTTCTTCATTCGAATATCATAGTCAGTCCAATCACAGACGATTTGCAAACAATGAGCCAAATTACAATAAGCATCAGGAAAATCAGGTTTTAGCTTTAGGGCTGTTCGATAAGATTGAATAGCTTCTGGAATATTGCCAGAATCTTTATGAATGCTTGCCAAATTACTATGGGCATCAGCGAAGGCTGGGTTAATTTGAATCGCTCTGGTGTAGCATTGAAGTGCTCCGCTGACATCTTGTAATTCTTTAAGGGTGTTTCCCATATTAGAATAGGCATCTGCAAAGGTGGGCTGAATTCTGATGGCCTCTTTGTAATGCATTAATGCTTCCTTTAATTTTCCTTGCTGTTGCAAAACGGATGCCAAGTTTGAATGGGCGGCAGCAAAATCAGGAAACACTTCCAAAGCTTTCAAATAAAGTCGAGTTGCTTCTTCAATGTACCCTTGCTCTCTTTTTATATTGGCTAAATTATTAAGGGAATCTGCATGATTTGAACACAGTCTTAGTGCAGTGTTATAGCAATCCTCAGCTTCTTTAACCTGGTATAAATAATAATAATAATTAGTGCAAACGAAACATATATAAATGAACGTACCTGCCCTTTCTCCTTAAGAGCATTTGCAAGATTGCAGTAGGCATCGGGGAAATTTGGCTGCAGCTCTATTGCCCGCCTATATGTGTCGATAGCTAAATCAATAAGGCCTTGTTCATAATAAACGCAGGCCAAATTTCCATGAACTACAGCATTATTCGGGGATAAGTTTAAAGCACGTAAGTAGGCAGCTACAGCCCTAAAATAAATTTTTTTTTTATTTACAATATTGTTCAGCATCGTTTGAGCTCTTAGAGTTGAAAACTTTAAAAGTTAGATTAGTTTTTTGACAATAGAAATCTGTTAACATAAATTTCAATTTACCTTTTCCACAATACCTTTAAACGAACCCAGAAAGGCAACATATTTTGTTCGTTGTTTGTATATTTTAGCTTTTTCGTATATTCCCGATCTTCATAGCTTATCTTGACTATTGTATAAACCACCACGCATTGGTACTCCATTACAATTATTGACTAATTCTTATTATTATCCATTATCAAATATTCAATTTTTTTTAAACGATAGAATATTTTTTATATGATAACTCATCAACTAACAACGCGTTCAAATTTGATCTTTAATATAGCTTTTTGTTGAAATATACGTTTGTATATACAATACACATAAAACACAATATATGCAAATGAATAACCTTCAATGACGTAAATAACCGCAAACTTGTACACACTGCCGCTCAACTAAATAGGTTTCATAGCTACTCATGTTAAATATCAAAAAAAATAAATTTATTGTTTAATTAGGATGAGGCAGACACACAGGCTGACAGACAAGAAATATATTCATACAATCAAAGTACTTTTCGCCGTGAAATGTATAAATGTTCTCCATAATTGCTATAAAAATGTATATTGATTTATTAAATCATGAGAAGACCGTTTTGAACGTAAAAGTTTATACATTAAAACCTCGGAAATAACAGTTATTCAGGGGTAACATAAAAACCGCATGTCGATTGCAAATAGTTGTTTTTTTTTTTGAATTTTTTATTTAAAAATTGGCTGCTAAGGGTAAACACCTTATCAAATAAAAAAAAAACTAAGAAAATTACAACCACCAAGCAAGCCCTTCATCAAGAAAAAAATAGGGTATGGAAACGCAGTCGAAGCTGCAGTTTCTGACATAGATGATAAAAGTGATTTTACATGTTAATCTTTTTAGATAGCGCTCAAAATGTACTTCGGAAAATTAAACGACTATTTAGCAATAGATTTAGTAAGCAAACGTTGAAATAAATAGATGAATATAAATGATAAAAAAAATTATTGAAATAAAATGTATAATATTTAATATTTTTTATAATAATATGTTTATTATATTGTATACATTTTATATTATATTTTTAAGTTATAAGTTTTTTTGTATACCCTTGCAGAGGGTATTATAATTTCACTCAAAAAGTTTGCAACGCAGTGAAAGAGACATTTCCGACCCTATAAAGTATATATATTCTTGATCAGCATCCAGGAGAGTCAATCTAGCCATATCCGTCCGTTCATCTGTCCGTCCGTGCGTCCGTCCGATTCTATTCCCTCAGTTTTAAAGCTATCTGCTTAAAACTTTCTCAAAAGTTGTCTTTCTATTGTAGGTAGTATATAAGTCGGAACGAGCCGGATCGGGCGACTATCATATAGCTCCCATAGGAACAATCGCAAATAAATTTTATAAAAATTATAACATTGTTGTTTTTAATTATTTTTTTGTTCTTTGGGATTTTGTAATATTAAAATATTATGAAATTACGGTTTTATATATAGCTCCCATAGGTAAATCAAAAAATAAAAATAAATAAAAAAACTGTTATTTCGGTGTTTTTCTTTTTATTAAAATATTCCTTTGAGAAATAGTAATTATATACTATTTTAGAATAACGCTTTTAGTTTTATCAAAATCGGACAATAATATCATAAGCTGCCATAGAAACGATGGCGAAATGCAGCCCAAAATCGACAAAGCTTCATTGTTTTTAGTAATTAGGTAGAGAATTCGAAATTAAGTCGTTTTGTAATAACTGCAAGGGTATATAAACTTGCCGAAGTTAGCTTCCTTTCTTGTTTTTATTAATTTTTATTACAGCCTTTCAGCCACTTGGCGCAAATTCTTATTAGCTATAAGTTCCATTACCATAAGTTCCATTACCATGGTTTTTGTTTTAAGTTCATTTCATTGGTGGTGGGATACCCCTCTATAAGCAAAAAATAGCTAATGTTCAATTCCACAGGTTCGGACTCATATTTTATATATTTTATATTTATGTGTTAGAGTCGTTGGGCGTTCATCACAGAGCAGCCAGGAGTTTAGATTTCTTAGGATCAATGCTTAAGGTCGTAGCAGGGACACCGGACGCCGGTGACTTTGATTTATGAATTAGATTTACCGAAATGAAGTTAATTGAGTGAAACTATTGGATATGTGAGTGCTTTATTAAAAAGAACAAAAGAGGAGGAACGCGTCCGTTCGTTGTGAAATTACAGGCGAGAGAGAGTTCTTAGATTTATATCGATATATATATGGAGTTGCTCCCAGGCAACTATCGCAATCGGCTGACAGACGGCGTTGCCAAATAGTTACATATTTCTAACACTCCTTCTCAACGCTGTTTGTCATTTTACAGGATAATTAAAATACGTTATTTACAGCAAACCCATCATATTAATACTTAGATATACAGGATTCTTTACAAGATACTGCGCGCTTTGATTATCGCTGTGCATTATAATCGGTTGGACTTCACCAAGACCCATCTCACTCCAAAGTTTACGAATATACACTGCCTCCTTGTAGATGCAGGGTTCGCTCGGACATGCTGAGAACCCTAACTTCAGAATGGTCTCGTCCAGGCTTCTGTTCCACTCTCGGCCACTTTGTTTTAAGCCGTAAAGCGATTTGTGCAGCTTCAGAACCTTTCCTGGATGCTTTTCGTCAGTAAACCCCTCAGGTTGCCTCATGTACACCACGTCATGGAGTTCACTGTTGAGGTAAGCAGAAGAAACATCAAGTTGGTGCATATACATACCATGTTCGACCGCTATCGCAATCATCAGCCTTATTGATGAATATCTGGCCACCGGGGAAAACGTGTCAGAGTAGTTGATACCATATTTTTGTCCACAGCCCTTTGCAACAAGCCGTGATCTCAAACGTTACACATTGCCATATTTATCTCGCTTGACCGCGTAGACCCACTTGCATCCAATGGCCTTCTCTCCCTCAGGCAGCTCGACAAGTGTCCAAGTCTTCCTCTCTTTTAGACTATCAACTTCTTGTTGCATAGAATTCTTCCTGTCCTCTGCATGTCTGGTCTGGAACTTAGTGCATCTTTGAAACTTGCTGGAACCTCAACATCACTTTTGGTTATGACATTGACAGTTTGGTACTCCTTTCGAGGTCTCCCACGCCGCCCAGAACGAACAAGTTTTGGCCTCCCAGGGCCCCGTTTATCGCTTAGCAGCACCTCTGCTTCTGGCAGCAGCTCTGCTTCTGGCAGCACATCTTCATCTGGAAACACCTCGGCTCCTGGTAGTACTTCTGCTTCTGGTGGTTGCTCTTCTTTGTTCTCCTCGCTGGCATATACATCGGGCTCGTTTTCGTCATAAGCTCCCATCTCTTCAATTTGTGGAGCGAAATTACTTTCATTATATTTTTGCTTCTGAAAATGCTCCAAAAATATTACGTCACGTGACTCTGTGAGTTTTCCTGTACATGGATTATACAAACGGTAAGCAGCAGCCATATCTGAATACCCTACAAAAACATATTCGATTCCTTTCGGTTTGAATTTACGTGTTTCTTATCCAAGCCGATCGCTTTAACCCCGAATACCTTGAGATGAGCTACACTCGGTTTCCGTCCGAACCAAGCTTCGAACGGCGTCATATCCTCCAGTGCTGATGACTCCGATCTGTTTCGCAAGTATGCTGCAGCAGCTACGGCTTCCGCCCAAAATGCTTCGTCCATATTAGCATACTGCAACATGCTCCGAGCCATCTCAACCAACGTTCTATTAGCTCTTTCCGCCACACCGTTTTGTTGAGGTGTATACGGTACAGTAAGCTCTCTCTTTATTCCATTGCTTACCAAGAACTGCGTAAACTCTCCGCTCAAATACTCCCGCCCGTTATCGCTGCGCAGGATTTTGAGCCTTTCTCCTGTTTGTTTTTCCACCAGTGCTTTAAACACCATGAACTTTCCGAAAACTTCATCACGCGTCTTCAGAAAATATACATGCATATATCGCGATTTATCGTCTATAAATGTCACGAAATACCGAGATCCGCCTTTTGATTTTTTTGCTCATCGGTCCGCAAATGTCTGTGTGAACACGTTGCAAAATATTATTCGTTTTCAAGTGCTCTCGATACGGATAGAAAGTTACACTGTAAATCTTTTACATAAAGTACATCCACGAGATCGATCGTACTTTTCTTCCATTTTATGCGTACATTTCCACGGCCTTCCGCCATGATGCTAATATTATTTTTTCTCTATGTTCCTTCATACTTGTAAAACTAGAGCGATTGCAACACAAATGGGTCGTGGTACCAGTGTCTAAGCACCAAACGCTCTCTCGGCGCTCTCCGAACTCACTTGGCCCATTAGAGAAAACAAAATAATTACGACTGTTCTCCTTCTTCTCTCCGCCTTTCCTTTCGGGTTTACCCTTTTCGCGACAATTTACAGCAATATGCCCTTGACGACCGCATGCCCAAAACGCTCTCTTGTTCTTGTCTTTGTTCTTCCATTCGGTTTTGGCAGACACTTTCTCTCTTCGCGACGCAAACATTCTTGTCTCTATCTCATGAACCGTTTCGTCGTTCTTTCGTCTCTCTCCTTCTTCCAGCAATTTGATTTTTAGCACATGCAACGACGGCAATCTGTCGCGCGTCTCGACAGCAACAACAAAATTCTCAAATGCATCACTTAGGCCAGACAACAACAAAATAACTGTAACTTCTTCGGGTAGAGTTACCCCGACTTCGTTCAGTTTCTCCAGAGTATCAGAAAATTTGCTTATATGCGATCCAATGTTGTTTTCTTCTGCCATTTTCATTCGAAGCAATTGCCTAAGCAGAAATACACGCCGCGCCGGTCCTGTTGGTCTATGTATTCCTAGAAGCCTGTCCCATGCTTCCGCTGCACTAACACAATATTTTACATGATTTATTTGAGACGGTTTTA